ATGGTAAGCAATAAGATAAATCCGTTTCATGTTTTTCTGCTCTCTCTGTTATGTAGATTATGCAGATACCATTTAAACTGTTGAACACTAATGGAAAACCGATTGATAACGGAACGGACGATGAAGATAAGAAAACAAATAAAGAAATCACTGCGATACATTTGGCCAGCAAAACGTAGGCAACCCAACTGCGTTTTGCTATCTTTCCTATCAATTTGAACAGTTAAAAAAAAAAGAAAACAAAAGAGCTCAAAATGTGAAGCACAGAAAAAGCTGACAGAAAAAAATTAGATTAAAAGAACAAAAACTGAATTTTTATTTCTCACTTATTTTCACCTTTCTTTTTTTTTTCCAATTGCTGCTATTTCTGATTTTTTAAACTGTTTTTTTTCCTCTTCCTTCTTAACTTTCATACTTTTTGTTCTTTTTTCTGTTTTCTTTTTCTTCCTTATTAGTTTCAAAACTTCACTACCTACTTTTTTCTTCAGAATTTCTTTTTTCATTTTTTATTATTACTACCGCTCCACTGTTAGTATCGATGATGTTTCCAGAAGTTTTCTTCATCTATTTACTCATTTTTTGTCTATAATATCAATAAATACACATACACGTCTACACCACTGACACCACACCCAAATAACGTATATCCACGTTTATGGTTGATAATAGACATTTGGTGCTTGAAAAAGTAAGCTAACAAAAGCAAATAAGCAACCATCTAAGCTTAGATGCTTGTTTTTTCCTCTCTTCACTCGGTTTCACTCTTATTCCATCTTTACATTTTATTGCGGTACCTTTCTTCTCTCTTTCTTTTGCTCCTTTTTTTTTTTTCAATTAGAACTTAGAGGAAGAAAGCTAACATGTCAATTGGTATCTGTGGCAGTGTCGGTATATAATGGTGGCTTTCCGGTCTGTTCTAAATAACGAAAAAAATAGCTGAAGTCCTGCAGCAACTCTATTTTTATTTTGTCAAAAATTCACCAATATTTTTAAACATACAACTCTGTTTTATCCAGTTTTTTTCCTTATATATCTACAGAAGGAAAAGTTTTCTGCTTTTTTATCCTATTTAATTAAATAGAAGTCTTATTTGGCATGTAATTGAAATATAGATGAGCAATTTGTCGGACAAATTTTTTACGTACACTGATTTTTTGCCAAATAGCACAAGTTTTTTTTTTTTTTGCATAGATGTCTACTATGGCATTATGCAGTAACGCCACTTCAAAATCCAGATTAACAACTAAGCTTTATGCCATTCTGATAATTCCACGGCTCCTCTTCTTCAACTTCATCTCATCATTCTTCTCTGCACCTAGTTATTTGCTGGTAAAAGAAGGATAAGGATCCTTGATTGTTGTTCTGCAAAATTCATTTTACATCCATGTTTTTGTTTATCGACATTTGAACTCAACTTCACTTTTCTTTTCGTACATTTTACCTGTTATCTATTCCGCAGTTTATTTTGTTAAATATGATTGCAGAAGAAAGCAACAACAACAACCAAACAAAAATTATAGATGTTTATTTATTTATTTATATTTTTTTGCCATCTAAAAAATTGGTGTATTCTATTACTAAAATTTCAATTTTTAGTTGTTTTGCTTGGTTAGTTAAATGATGCGGTGTGTTTTTTTTACCCCACTTTATTCTCATATGGTTTCTGGTTAACGAATTATTGCAAATAAATGATGCAGTTTTTTTTTT